CCCCGTTCCCAGAGCACCTATAGCAGACAAGAAACTGGGTGTAGGCCACAGCAATCCAGTTGTGGTGTCCACACACCAAGCGCACCATCCCCGGCTCCTCTGGTAGACCTGACAAGGGAAGAGTCGGGTCAGGGCAGGGTCACTAGGATCCCCATGGTCACCCCACTTCCCAGGAGACGGAAACATACCAGAAGGAGGAGGAGGGGCTTTCTCCTCCAGCATGCGGCCCAGGAGCCCTGCATTGCCCAAGTTGGGGGGCATCGTGTTGCTCCGCCGAACAGGAGCTGGGCGTCCCCCGGTCTGCTGGGGCCCCACCAGACTGTGCCGATTCCTCCGCTTCATGGGGAACACTGCATTACAGGGGATGGAAGTGCAGGTGGGGGTACAGAGTGTTAATAACTGCAGTGACTAGTCTGGAACACACCACCTTACACTATGTGGGTGACTTCCCCACATGTGGAGCCCAGTTCCCTGGCTAGGAGGTTTTAAGTGTGTGGGGACATGGCATTAACCATTTATAACTCAATGGCAACTGACAACAGCTATCTTTGCTTTAAATCAGCGTGTTTACTTTGGAGCAGAAAGATAGTGATACAAAGTTTCCACTAAACAATGTCACACAGAAAGACTACCTTTGGTAGTACTGAGAAGCCTAGTACTTGTCAATAACCAGAAAACAAACAAAAACCAAACCCACCAGGAAGTCAATTCAGATTCATAGCGACCCAGTATGGCAGAGTAGAACGACCCTATAGAGTTTCCTTAGCTCTAACGTTTACGGAGGTAGAAAGCCACGTCATTCTCCCGTGTAGCTGGTAGGTTCGAACAGCCGACCTTTTGGTTATCAGCTGACAGTGTAACCACTGTGCCACCAGGATACCTTAATACTCGCTAAGCTCTCCTTTTAAATAAATGGGTGCAACAGATTCTAGACAGATTTAATAGCACTGTTATGTTTGCATTAGAATCAAAGGAAGAAAGGTCTGGTAATCTCCTTCTGAAATTTAGCCACTGAAAAATCCTACAAATCCCAATACGAAAGAATCTGATTACCAACAATCCTGGAGATGGCGCAGGACCAAATGACATTCTGCTCTGAACTGGAGCAGACTCAATGGCAGCTTAGATGGCAACGAGCAGCCACTATGCATGGGCTTAATTTTCATGTTTACTTTGTATATGTGGCATACCAGTAGTGATACAAAGTTTCTATTTAAAGTAAGTTAAAGAAGAAAAAACTAACTAAACCTACGTTAATAAAACAATAGCACAGGTTTTCATATTTGGGAAACTTCATGATGATAGTCAGTATTGACTAAAGTTGGGGGAATAAAACTATCCTTCTACCAACCAGCAAAGGGGCTCTGGCAGCATAGTGGGTTACGCACTGGGCTGTTAACCACAAGTCAACAGTTCAAATCCATCAGCCACTCTGAGGGAGAAAGATGTGGCTTTCTGCTCCTATAAAGATTTACAGCTTCAGAAACCCTATAGAAATGATTCACCACCACCACCACCACCAAACACCAACAACGCCTAGGGAACTAGTGTTCCCAATAACCTTTGGGACATATTTTCCAAGGCTAATGGGCTAAAGGAGCTCTGGTAGCGTAGTGGTTACGAATCGGGCTGCGAACCTTAAGGTCAGCGGTTCGAAACTACCAGCCGCTCCGCGGGAGAAAGATGAGGCTTTCTACTCCCGTAAGGATTTACACCCTCGGAAACCCTGTACAGGGTCGCTATGGGTCAGAACCGACTCGACGGCACTTAACAACAACAATGGGCTAAATAACCTAGGGTGACATGGGGATTGTAGTCAGAAAATCCTCTTTAATATTTCTCCCCTCCATACAAAGGATCCCAGCTCCTCTAAAGCTACCACAAGGAAATCAAACTTGGACTACAACTACAATCAGGCCCTAGGGTACACTTCGGAGCTTCAAGGAAGATTAGATGCCCACTGCCTCATGGGAAACGCAGCTCCTACTTCCTCTCCAAGCATGGGCCCAAGCATCAGATGCAGAACTACAACTCCCATGTCTCCCGGCCCATGTGTTTCAAAGGCGCTCCAGAAGGGCTGTGGATTTCAGGGGAAATGTAGTCTTTAATCCTTACTCCCGCTATTCTTTTGGAGTGCCCACCTGGTGGGGGCAGGTAACCGTTGAAGAGGACATTTCCACACGAAGATCGATCCAGCTCTTCCCGAAGCTGCAAGCGACGAACTGAGAAAAAACAACTCCAAGGCTGAAGCATGCAAGTTACTGAGACAGACACCTTTCCCCCTCCTCACTTCCCCCTCAGAATACCATTACTCTCTTCAGACTTAGGACCAGCTCTAACCAGACTATTTCATGTGGCTGGGGGAAGAGGTTTGGAAGGAGTCCAAGAGAATCAATGGAAAACTGGGTTTCTAAGCAAATGAGAATGTTCTACTTACCCAGAGGAGTGAGCCCATAGAACTGAGCTTCATGGAGGAGGCTGGAACCATGGACACCCCTGAGGTAGAATTAACTAGGAGTCAGACGCTCCGCGGGAGAAAGATGAGGCGTTCTGCTCCCGTAAAGATTTACACCCTCGGAAACCCTGTACAGGGTCGCTATGGGTCTGAACCGACTCGATGGCACTTAACAACAACAACAGGGTCTGAGGGACGAAGCAAGTGGGGAGGGGGCCAAGATTTCTGAGGAAGTTTCAAAACTGCAAGGAGAATCCCCAGGGATTCTGAGGGGATCAAAATTGTAAAGAGTGAAGAGATGGGCAGTGGACAAAGAGGGGGTTTTCAAAATATTTGTGGAAAAATGGCATAAAAAAAGAATGGAATTTTCCCACAAACTTTTGTAAGTCCCTCATATGAGTGTGTTTGTGTGTGTGTACTCTGGTGGCATATAATTAAGACACAGAATGCGAATGCTAATAGAGCAAAGTGTGAACAAACATTCTGAGGTAGAGAAAAAACTTCTTGGAAGGCGTTAGGGGACCTCTTCCCTTTGCTAACCTGGGGTCCAACTCTTTGGTGCGCAGGAAGTTGAGGATAGGGGCAAAGACAGTGGGGTCCCGGTCGATGAAGATCTGTGGAGGAGGGACAAAGGATGAACAGAGCAATGAGCAGGCCGAGAGAAGGGTCCTGCCCCTCCTTTTACTGCCCCCACCCACCCATTTCTGCCCTGGTCTTACCGCTCCAGTTTCATCTTTTAGCGTGGAGATGCGCCCGCTCAGAAGACTGAAGTAAGGGTAAGCAGAGCAAGTATCAGAGGCGGGGGGGAGTTAGGTCTTGGCATCCCTTCCCTTCCCACTTTTTCTGGCTTGCCTCCCCCTCCCCCCCTCCAATTCGAGCTTTCGATCACCTGGAGAAGAAAGAGTCTGGAATCCAGGTGAGGGTCTGGCGCGAGGTACTAAATCTGGACAGGGAAGGTAAACGAACCCTTGAGATGATGGGGGTAGGAAGGCAAGGATGCGACCCTCCTCCCCTAAAACGGGTTAAGCTTTTCCAGCTCTCGCGCCTCCAGTAGAGGGCGGATCAATCCTTGATGGACAAGGATTTCCCCCCGGAGAGGCGGGCACTCCCACTCCGCTCCCCGACCCTAAGGGATCCTCTACACTTACCTCTTGCCCCCAACGTTCAGATGAATCACCTCCCCGGGAGGCCCCCGACCCGTGGCCCCCTCGGCTGCAGCCGCCACTGCCGCCATGGCCCCTAGGCGAGCCCACCGGCCTGCGGCCGCTTCCGGGTATGTCCTCAGACCACGCCTCATCGTGCTCTCATTGGGCCGTGACTCCAAGAGCAGTCGGTGATTGGACAATGCGTTCGCCAGTCACACCTAAGGTAACCGCCCCCTTAAAGGGGGCCTTCCTCTCCGGGCTTGGACGGTGCGGACCAGGCAGGTTTTTAGGGAAGTTAAGCTGCAGAAGGCGAAACAAAACATTTCCTAATCCCTCCCGGGCTCTCCTTTTTAGGTATGGCATCTAGGTGCATTATTCAGGAATGTGTGCTTGGACCACGAAGAAGTTAGTCCACACCATCATCACCAGAGACATTTAGATGTTCTCCGCAGCTGCGGTCTCTCCCACGTTCCACCCCCAAGCCTCCCAGGCGCGGCCCATAAAACACGAATCAACCAATGTTAGACCGTCAAAGCCAAAGGGTTTATTATAGGTACTTTGTGTGCGCCCGCCACACCGCCCCACACCCCCAGCCCCAGCGGCTTCTCCTGGCAGCAGCCGTGGTTGCAGCCCACGACCCGGTCACGCCACTCCCAGGGACGTGCTCCAGCCAGAAGCATGCAGGGGGAGGACTCCCCCTCACCACACCCCTCCAGAAAGGGAATTTACAGCTGAAGGGGGGCAGGCGAGAGGAAGACAGTTTTGAGCTTTGACGCCCCTCCCCTTTAAAGCCTTCGGGGATGCGGGGCCTGGGAGGAGGACGTTGACGTTTTGCAAAAATAAATTAAGTCAGGAAATAACCGCATGGCTCTGTGGCGGCGGAGTGTGTGGGGGGGTTTAGGGCCCCCACCCCCCTCTCAGACAGAGATCAAGGCAGCATTGGAAGTGAGGTAAAGGCGAGGAGGGGGCATCCCCTCCCCACCCCCTAGCACCCTGGACGGTCCAGGGGACCTCACCAGCGCCCCTGTTCCCATCCCTAGGGTGGAGAGGGGGGCAGGAATTATTGCCCCCACCACTCCAGCGTCTTGGGGCAGGATTTGGGGGTCGGGGCAGGGAACTTGGCTCAACTGGTCCCTTCCCCGCCCCCCACAAGCTCTGTTATTGCATAAAAATAATGGAGCCCCAGCACCTGGGGTGGAGGTGGCCTGTGGGGAGGGGCCGAGATATGGCTATAGGGGCAGCTCTCTCTCCACCACTACTTGGGGTGCAGGAAAAGTCCCCTCCTTTCCAGTGCCCTTCATGCCAAGTCCGCAGTGTTGGAACTAGGGGTTCCTGCCCCTGCAGAAGAAAAAGTGTCTTGGTGCCCTCGGAGTTGAGAGAAAGGGCGGACTGTGGGGGGGTTACTTCCGGCGCCCACTGGCCCTGCGCTCCCCAGCCTCCCGCTTGGGGTTGCCCTCATCTGTGGACGAAGTCGTGGGTAGTGTCTGGCCCCAGCGGGCTATTTCAGCGTGTTCTGCCACCGAGGCAGCTACAGCCTCCAGCCAGCCATTCATCTCCTCCTGGAGGTGGGGAGGTGGGGTGAGGAGGGGAGAAAACAAAGACAGTCCATATTTGGAGAAGAGACGAGCTCTCATAATAGAAAAATCAGGACAACTGCCTTCTTAGTTGAACCTTAACTTCCTGATTTATTAAATGGGATAATAATAATCCAAACTGTTATATAGCACTATGTACCCTGAACATGACAGCCCAAAAGATCTTCCTTTATGCAGTACAACAACCCTCCTTGGCTCAAAATCTTACCATGGCTCCCCAGTGCTCTTGGGATACAATCCAAACTTCTTCTAAATGGTGCACAATGCCCTGCAATATCCAGCCCTGAGAACCTTTCCAGGACCAAATTTTACTTAACTCCTTGAATTCTGATCTCTAGAACCACAGTTAATGATCTCTTGCAATTTGTCCCCTCACATTCTTTCCATTTGCAGTTCCTCTGCTTCAATCACCTATACCTCTATTTTAGCTGAGCCCCTCATGGTCTCTTTGCAGTTTCAGCTCAGAAGCCAAGGCAAGAGGGATGGGATTTGGCCTGAGGGCTTCCAGGCAGCCTAGCCTGGACTCCCTTCTCCCTGGCTGCTTCAAGAAACTCTTGGCTCTCACAGCACAAGCTTCAGATCACAGTCCTAATAACTCAGCCTGTGTCTCCCCTAGCACAGACCCACCACTCCAGGCCATGGGCCATCCTGGTGTTTCCTGTGGCCCACAGACAGGAGAGAAAGATCTGGATCTTACCTCATCTTTAGCCTGGAGCAAAAACTCACTGCCATCCTGGGTCCTACCGGAGAGAACACAGGACTTGTGGAAACTAGGGCAGAGATCCCATCCATCCACCCACCACGGGGAGCCAGGGTACTGTTGGGAGGGGGAAGCTGGGCCTAGAATGCTTTCCCGTCTGCCCACTGAAGTGGGGTGGGGAGACTCACTGGAGCTTGAAGACGTGTTTCTTTTTCTTGTAGTCACTGGCCACCTCACTGGTGGCTTTGTGCAGGCTGAGTAGTGGCTCCCCACCGTGCGTACCCCCTGATGCCGGTCCCTTGGAGTCCTTGTAGAAGCCCAGCTCCCCCTTGCTCAGGACGCAGTACAGACTCACCCAGGACCTGGGATGAGGAGACTGGGCTTGAAGCAGAGCCACAACACTCTGCCTGGTTGCTTTTCATTAAAGCCCTTCATGGGTGCTGAATGTTCGCCCTATGTCTCTTCCTATGGTTGTTACTGAGTTGAGAGAAAGGTCTAAGTCTCCCCATATCCAACCTTTGCCCAAGCTGGCCTTGGCTAGGATTGCCCTTCCATGCTGTTAAATGCCGTCAAGTCGGTTCCGACTCATAGCGACCCTGTGGTTCCGAGGAGCAGCTGGTGGGTTTGAACTGCCGAACTTGTTCGCAATCCAGTGCTGATCCTACAGCACCACACCAGGACTCTATATCTCCCCCTTCCATTTTAGATTTCCCCAGGGCAGGGTTTCAGCCTTCTTCACACTCTTTCTCAGGCAAGATAGATCTTCAACCCAGGGTATCCACTGTTTCACTCCTAGAGAGTTCCCTGAAGGAAGATCTACTGTTCTACTATGTGGAAAGAACTGTCTGCTCAACCTCAACCTCAAGAGCTGAATACAATCTTTATTCCCACCTTAGTCTAGGGACAAGGAAGAAAGACTACCTGCAGACTCCACTTCCAAATCATGTCTGCCCACTTCATTTGTCGGCAAGAATTTCCCTTATGGACACATCACCATTAGGCCCGGCCCAATTTGGACCAGTAAGAGGTGCCTCACATGCAACCCATCTAATTATTGGATACTCAGCCCCCTTTTCAGACCCTCCCTCAACTTGTAACTTCTAGGTTCTCCCTATCCCTCTCATTGATTGATCTCTTCAGATGCCACCTAATATGCTGTTGGAACTTCATAGGCTCAATCCCGCTTGCAGCTAGCTATTTAACTACTATCACTCAACTCTTGGATTAGTTGCTTTGAGACTGGGTCCCTATTTATTTCCTTTCCCGCCCTCATCTAGTTCCCCCATTGGACACACCAGGTTTAGGGCCCGGTCCCCATGGGTTGGATTCCCTGAAATTGGTTCCCGCCCCTCATCAGGCCCCGCCTTCCCCTCCTCTGGTTGGACATTCTGGTTGGGTAGTGCCGGTCCTCAGGCCCATCTATTCACTCATTGGGCACCCTGAACTTGAGTTCCGCCTTCCAAAGCTCCGCCCAGGCCGCTCACCGGTTGGAAGACTTGCGGTTGGCATCAAGTTCGCGCTTGCGTAACAGGGAGCCCTCGTGCTGTACTGTATGGGTGGGCGGAGGCGGAGGTGCGGGGGCGGAGCCTCCTTGAGCTGGGGCGGAGCGCGATCGTCGGCTTCCCCCGCCCTCACCACCTTCTCGGGGCCGCGGCCTCCGTCTCGGCTTGGGGCGGTCTCGGGCCCGCGGTCGGTCCGGCCGAGGTGTCCGCTCAGGCGGCTCAAGCCCGTTGGGCAGGCGGCCGGGAGGAAGCTCTCGAGGCTGAGGCAGCGACGGCTGTGTGGAGAGGAGAGGGGTACTATCCAAAGGAGATGTAGGGATCATTTGTCTGGGGGCAGGGTGCTCATGGGGCTGAGAATCTCGTCTGCCTGGGGGGCCGTCTTTCTTAGAATCTAGTCTGAGAAGGCCTCAGAGCTTGAAGTCCAATTTTTAGGGGCCCCACAAATCTTGGAAATTAATGTCAGGACTCATATTTGAAATGCCCCCACCTGTAGAGTGAGGGGAAGGAACTAGGTCTATGGAGGAGGGGTGCGGAAAGGGGAGTATCCACAGTCTGTAGGAGGCTTCCTGGGGGGGGGGGGGGGGGCGGGGAGATAGGCCCGGAGTCCCCGACCCCATCTCTCTGTGAGAAAATTTGGGACCCAGTCGGCTATGGAGAAAATGGAGTCCAGGACAGATGTGGGGAAAGTTTGGAGGGGTCTATCTGGGGGCAAAGATTCTTAGGGGAAAGAGGAATTCCACTCTCCTCATAGTCACAACGCCGACGTATCTCTCTAAGGTAGCAAAATGTAGGATACCTGGGGACCCACTCCAAGCTCAGGGATCCTGACTCCTGAGCTGGGGGGACTCCATGTTCTTCCCTGTCCATCCAGAAGCCCCACTTACCCCAGCAGGGAGCCCTGGGCTTGCCTCTTTCTCCTGCAGCTGCTCCACAATGTCAGCCAGGGTGGCCTTCCTGGGGGGGGGAGGGGGGAGAAAGGCCCGATGGAACTGAAGTTATTTTCTCCCAGGGACCAGCCTGGCTGGACCAAGGAGCCTTCATCCCTTACCCTGAAATGTCAGGACCCTATCCCGCTTCTGTGGCCTTCTCTTACCCACTACAGTTGCTATAGACAGGTCAGCTGAATGGAGAACCACACATCCCCACCTTGAGTTTTAAATAGCATTAAGAACTACATGCCAACTGTTCAAACCTTTGAACATAGTGTTGTTTCTCTCACCTTCAGAGTTCCTAAGTTCCCTGGACATCCCCCAGCCTCACCCCCCCATCCCAGCCCTGATCATTCTGGGTCATGGCTGTCTGATGAGAGGTCCATTTCTCTCGCTGGACTGTAAGACCCATGAGGGCTGAGCCAGGGCTTGGTTCCAGTCACCACTGTCCCTACCACACACCAGGTATAGTGTGGGACTCAGCACATATTCATGAATTACCAAAGTTAAAGAAGGGTCAAGAAGTCACTGTCTCCAGAACATTTGACCAAAATTCTCTTTCTTGAGAAATAGCTGACGGGACAGATGTGCACAACACGCTAAGGTTAATGCTGGAGTCTGAGAAGCCTGGATTCAAGTCCAAGCTGAGTGACTTGCCTTCTCTGTGTCTCAGCTATTCCATTCACCAAATGAAGATGACAATACAAAACATAGGGAGTTAGTTGGATAAGTAATGGTACCCTAAGAGACTGCAATCAATGAAGTGAAACAAAATGTGTATGAATTGCTGAAAAGAAAACTAATGATCTGTTCTGCAAACCTTCACCCAATTCAAAATAAAAAGTTCAAAACAAAATACAACACCACGATGACAGCTGTCCCACTTCACAAGGGTTCTTCAGTGTGATTATGAGCAAGGGTCTTTTCCAATCAGGGCGTTATGGTTCCACCATTAGCCCCACCAGGAAATTGAGATGCAGAGAGGACAGGCCTGGGGTTTGAGAACCTGGAAGCTCTGGCATCAGGAAGACCTGCCTATTTGGGAAAAAAGGGGCTCCTACCTACCGTTCTCCAACCACAGTTTGTACCTCTGCAAAAAAGGTACCACGACAGTCCGCTCCGCGCTAGGCAGTTCCTAGCTCCCTTCGCCAGGACTGCTTCCAGTCCCCCTTTCATCACCTTTTTGGCCACATGGGGCTCACCCCTTGGCTAGGTCTCCTCTGATGGGCGTCTCCTGCTCGCTGGACTCCTGCCTCTCCAACCTCCGCTCCCTCCGTTCGCGCCGCCGCTCCATCTGCTCGTAGCGGCCCAGAGTGAGGCTGTGCGCCGCATCGTGCTCTGCAGACTCTTGCCGCTCGGGCCGCCGCCTCCTGGGCAGCTCCTCGGGTTGGTCGGTCGACTCCTGCCGCTCTGACCTCCGCCTCCTGGGCAGCTCCTCGGGTTGGTCGGTCGACTCCTGCCGCTCTGACCTCCGCCTCCTGGGCAGCTCCTCGGGTTGGTCGGTCGACTCCTGCCGCTCTGACCTCCGCCTCCTGGGCAGCTCCTCGGCGCGCTCAGCAGACTCTTGGCGTTCGGGCCGCGGTCGATCCTGTTCGACCGCAGCAGAGACCCGGGGGACGGCCACCGCTGTGTCCTCGTGAACGGCCGGCGGGGTTGCGGGTTCCACCCGCACCGGGACCTCCGGCAGCCGGTCGATGCGCGGCTGGAGGCGCTCGGGCTTGAGTTCCTGGCGCACATACCCCACCCGGGTCCGCACCTCAGCTGACAATGTGTCCGAGGCCCGACGGGCCAGCGGCTCCAGACCTCTTTCGTAGCCCCCCGGCCGCAGCAGAGGTGCCGCCTTGGCCGCCAGTTCTGTGGGGTCCCCGAAGAACTTGCGCCCCAGGAGAGGCGTGGGTGGTTGCTTGCTCTGTTCAGCCTTGAGTTTCTCGATCTGGGGGTGGAGGGGCCAGGGTCAGGTGAGGGAAGGGTGGGCTGGGCTGGGCAGGCGTTTCTGGGTTTGATGGGCCTCACTACCCAGTTGGGACTGACTGCTAAGAATGCTATCATCCAGTCGATTCCAACTCAGAGTGGACTCCAACTACAGGACTGAGTAGTTTCTGATACTGTTGATTTTTACAGCAGCAAACAGCCTTATCTTTCTCCCAAAGAAGGGGTTTGAACCGTTGGCCTTGTTGTTAGCACTCCAATGTTTAACCCACTGTGCCACCAGGTCTCTGATGGTCTCTTGTTCTTAAGTGCCTCGAGTCAGTGCTGACTCACAGTAACCTTGTATAGGGTTTCTGAGGAGCAGCTGATGAGTTTGCACCGCTGACCTTCGGGTTCAAACCGACCTTGAGGTCGAGGTTGCTATATTCTAACCAGGTTATCGCCCAAGTTCTTTTGGGCCCCCACAGACCCCAGTACCTTCCCTGTCCCACTGGTCACTGCCCTGTGCTTCCTCCATCCCAGCCCTGACCCACCCCTCTGAGCTGTCATTGCCTGATGACAAGCCAGCCTCCCCTGCTGGACTGAGAGTCTGGTGAGCATCCGTCACCATTATCAGGTTCAGGCGTGCCTGTCTCCTTCCTATAGAGTGGGGGTGCTGGGGTGCTGACCGTGGTCAGGCGCCGCAGGGAGCTGAACCTCTCTTCCCAGGCAGCGGCCGCTTTGCGGAAAGCCTCATGCCTCCGGATAAGTTGTTCCACCTCATCCACGCTGCTGCCCAGCTCGCGGCTCTGCAGGAGTGGCTCTTGGGCCGTCAGCCAGGCGTCAGCCACTACTGCCTCCTGGGCGAACTGGTGCACCTCCAGCACTGAGGAAAGACATGCAGGGCAAGGGCGCTGGGGGCTCCCATTGGGGGGTGGGCTTTCTGGGCAGTGGCTTTCTCTAGCAATCCACCCTCCCCACATCCCATCCCTGCCCCTTGGCTACCCCTGCAAAGCCTAGATCACCCAGCCCTGCAGACCCCTCTGGACTCTGCCAGCAAGTGGGGTGCAGTGGGAGGGAGGGTCAGAGGTTCACCCCCAAGGTGACGGCCACCAGGGATTCAATGGCAGGTAGTCTCTTTGTCCACCCTCCTGAGGCTCTCATGTTTTCAGCGGGTTCCCTTAGGGGATGTGAAAATCAGTGTCACCCTCTGGGCCTTGTGCCTACATGGCAGACTTTGTCCCTGTGCCTCAAGCCCTATGTCCGGGGCCCCACTCACTCTGCTGAAGCCACTCCCAGTGACGGTCCCACTTGTCTGATACCTCCTCCTTCCTGGTTCCCAGCTTGTCTAGCTGCGCCTGGATCTGGGAATGGTGGGTGGGCAGGAGAGGCGTCAGGGTGGGGTGCCTCTTGCTCCCACCCCAACCGGCCTGAGGGGCAGAGGGGGACCTCCATGTACCCCTCCCCACCTCATCAGCCATGGCGCCCTTGTTGAGCAGTAGAGAGTGCCCCAGCTCCTGGCAGGCAGTCAGCTCTGGCATCCGAGCCTCCAGCTCGGTCTTCAGGCCCTGGTGGTAGTTCATGAGCACCTCCACCGATGATACGTCCCTGCAGTGGGTGGCAAGCAGTGGCTTCGGAGTCCCTCCACCACCCCATATACACAGCTCCTGATGAGGTTGGGGGTCTGTACCACATAGGGAGTACCACATAGAAGGTGAGTACCTTCTATGGCCAAATTCTGAAGGACCAAGGAAGTCCTGAACTGACTCAATGATCCCAACTTTCCAAGGTAGAGGGTAACCATCACACATTTATAAATCTAACCTTCGAGGGTATCCACATCTCATTTTTCTGTCTATAGTTAAGATTCCAAAGGTTACACCTGTCAATTATTTGAGCCAAGCCTGCACTGTCCAATCCAGTAGTCACAGAGGGCAAGTGAGCACTTGAAATGTGGCTTGTGGGAACTGAGATGTCTTCAAGTGTCAAATGCACAGTAGACTTGGAAGATTTCGTAGGAAAAAATATTTAGAAAAAAGTATATTGGTAGTGAAGCTGAATACATGTTGAAATGGGCTCCTGGTATGGCGTTGTAGCGTAATCACTGAAGTGCAAGATCAGCAGTTCAAACTCACCTACCAATCCTCAGAAACCGTATACAGGGTGGCTGTGAGTTGGAACCGACTTGATGGCATTTAACTGCAACTACATGTTGAAATGATCATTTCTGGGTTGTTGTTGTGAAGTGTCGTTGAGTCGGTTCCAACCCATAGCCACCCTGTATAGGGTTTCCAAGGAGCAGCTGGTTAGCTTGAACCACCAACCCTGCAGTTCAAACAGCTTTGCAGTCTGGCGCATTAAACCACAATGCCATATCAGGACTCCCATTTCTGGGTAAACTGTGTTAAATAAATAATTGAAATAAACTTTACTTCCTTCTCTTTATTTTTAAAAATATCAAAGGTCTCTACTTGTTGTTGTTAAGCGCCATCAAGTCAATTCAGACTCATAGTGACCCTGTCCAGGGGTTTCAACTCATAGTCAACCTTGCAGTTCAAACAGACTTTGTGGTCTAGTGCGCTATCCTGCAGCACCACACCAGCGCTCCAATGTCACTACTGGTGGTGATGTGCCACGGAGTCGGTGCAGAGGCATAGCGACCCTGTACAGTGTTTCTGAGGCTGTAAATCTTTACAGGAGCAGAAAGCCTCACCTTTCTCCTGCGGAACAGCTGGTAGTTTTGAACTGCTGACCTTGAGGTTTGCAGCCCGATTCGTAACCACTACACTACCAAAGCTCCTTGTCACTACTAGAAAATGTAAAACAATATACTTGTATATAGCTCATGGAGTCCTGGTGTGGTGCTCCAGACTAATGCGCTGGACTGCAAAGTCTTTTGAGCCACAAGGTAGGTGGTTCAAGCTTACCAGCCATGCCTTAGAAACCCTACAAGGATTGCTATAGGTTGGAACCGACTCAACGGCACTTCACAGCAACATGTAGCTCATAGCTGGGCTTGATCATTGGACAGCATCATTTTGTTGCTCGTATATTCAAAATAAAGTCCAAATTTTGGAAGGGTCCTTGACCTCGTCTATCACCTGGCACGTACGAAGCATTCAATACCTATTACGTCTGCCATGTACATGAGTGTGCGGTCAAGACCCTGGGATCACAGCAATGATGTTGTGTCTACCACTGGCAGGTCTCTGCTTTCTGGGCACACACAACATCACACTATATCTCCCAGCCTTTCTTGCAGACAGGTTAAGGCCAGCTGGCTGACAGAATGTGAACAAAGGCTTACTTTCTAGAACCTTCCATGTGCTCCTCCCCATTCTTTAATTCATCTGCAGCTAGATGCAGATGGTTCAGCAAAGTATTCCCAGGGCCAGTGATAGAAGGATGCTTAAACCTGACCACAGTGGGGCAGGTCCTACAGGGAGCCACTGTGGGAGCAATAAGTCCCAATCGCCTGTGTTAAGCCTCTAAGATGTTACAATTGTTTGTCACAGTTGTTCAGCTCCCCTAATCCCCAACCTCCCCACCCCATCCTGATTCCACCCCATCCTGCTCTGTGACAATCCCAGAGGTTCTGACTTAGCAAACATATAGGACATAAAAGAACAGCCCCACAGAATTTCTAAAGCTGTTAAGTATTTATGGAGGCTGGTGGTTCCAATCTCTGACCTTTTGGTTAAAGCTAAATGCTTTAACCATTGAGTCACCAGGGATCAGGCCACTGGGAAAGGCAGAAGGTAACAGAATGTACCCTGCTCTGAGCCCCACCTGCTCCAATGAAGTTTTAACGTCCAGAGAGCATTTCAAAGAGTGCCTGGCCTCTTTGGGAAACTGAGGCCCAGAACACCCTTGACAGAAAAGGTGGCCACATAGGAATTGGCTGCCGTGATTTCTTATTGTAAGGAGGCTGTTGATAAGTGGAGGGAGGCCAGTAGGAAGCCCCAGGGTGGGGTGTGGGGGCACCTGGGCTTGTCGGCTGCCCCGATCTGGCTGGCGATGCCATCCATCCAAGCGAGCAGGTCTCGGGCCTGGCTGTGGAAGCGCAGGGCATCGGCAGTAGAGCTGACATGCAGCCGGGCATCCTCACAGGCCGCCAGCAGCTCCTTCCAGTCCTGGAGCACCTCCTGCTCCCGGCTGGCGATGGCGTCCGCATGTTCACCTGCGTACACCGTCCGCAGCTGGGCTGCCCCCTCCTGCAGCTGCCGGACCTAAAGGGTAGGTATGCCAGGGTCCAGCACTGGCCCTCCACAAGGCCTGGGCTCTGCCCTCCCTCTCCCACACCTGCTGGTTGGCTGGAAATCCACAAGATGTGAGGAGCCTGGGTCTCTGGGATCCCATAATTGAATTACTTTCATGTCTGATGTCTGATTTCTCTTTCATTCTCCTGCCATCTGATTTCTTTTTGATTTTGACCAGATCACCTCATCTGGCTTCTTATAAGGAAACCACCTGTTTTTCGTGTCTACTGTCTGATTTTTCTTAGACTTGCCTACTTTCTGACTTTTTTAAACCCACTATGTTTCTTTTAGTCTCCTGCCTGATTTCTTTTCCTAACGACTCTATTTCTATGCCGTTACATTATTTTTTTTCCAAGCCCACTTCAATTTCATTTCAAACTGATCTTCTGGTGAGGGAAAAACAGCAATGAAGCTGCAAGCTAAGCCCTACAATGCTTGATAGACTCCTGTGAACCCAGGTGGCGACCTGGTTGGCCAGCAGTGTGGCAAGACCTGGGGACTCTTGGGCCCAGAGTCAGTGACATAGCCACAGAGAACTAGAGTGGAGAGCGAAGCGTCCAGCTGATAAGAAGAGAAGACATATGCATAAGAACACCCACACTTGCAGATAATACCCACTTGACCTGGCTTCAATGACTGGATGATCAGAGCTCAACTAGAAGAAAGAGGGAAAAAAGAGTAATCTGATACAATTTGAGGAACTTGACCTACACCTATGGATGCAGTAGCTCAAACGAGGGAACAAATCTTTACAGTGAGGATCATTGCCACCCCCTCCAAACACAGAGTAGACAGGGATGGGCAACTTGGACACTGGCTACCCAAAATGGGGGGAGGGGGGGCTACAAAGGCAAGAAGTGACTGGCTTACAAGCGTTTAAGAGAGAGCCTAGATCTAGAGGGTGAGGAGGAAGGTAGAATCTCCACTGAGTAATATCCAATCTGTCTGGGCGGGGCTGATGAAAGGCGATGTGGATAGGTCTCTTGTGATACAATAGTGAATAATTATTATCAGGACTGATTGTGAGGGTTGGAAATGTAGCAAAGGAAGGGGAGTGATTGACTTTTCAGTCTAGGAGCTGAGGTCCCTGGGACCATCAAGGGAGAAAAGCATAAGGTGGGACCTTACCCAGAGAAGCAGTGATGCCTGAAATGGAGGCAGAGACGATGACATGTGGAGAGATGGAGTGGCTGGGGACTCTAGACCCAGAGAGGGAGAGGGGCTGTGGGCTGACGACCAGGGGGCAGGCTTGCAGGGTATACACTTTGGTTGGTTGATGATGCATGGAGGGGATTGTAACCATGGCAATGAAATGATATATGATAGGATGAATATAAAGTAATGTTCTCCCATGTAAACTATCACATAATTCACAATAAAACATGAAAAAAACAAAAACAAAAACTGATCTTCTGATTTCTTTCATAAAATGTCTCCCGATACATATCTGTAGGACTTGCCCTGTTTTTTACCCTCTCTTTCTTCCCCTCACTCAATTGTTTGCGGACCCACTATCTGCTGGCATCATTTCTTTCAGAATGACTACACGATGATGATCACATTGCTTGTGCGATTTCTGTTGGTTCAACCATCTATCTGATTTTTTTCCATATGAACAGCCTCTTCTATCAGACCCACCACTTAAAATCACTCTCAATCTCTCAGGCCAATTTCTAACAATCATCTGTATGATTTATAGACAAATCTGTTAAACCTGTAACTCAGTTTTCTTTGATTCTACTTCTGGGGTTCTGGCCGATCCACAGCTTTATTTCCATCTTATTCCTCAGAGACCACCCTCACCCCCTTCCATTTCCCTTACCAGATTTCTATTCATTCTGTAACCATTTCCACTGAAGTTACACCCTGCGCCCCCATCGGCCATCAAATTTATTTTGGAAAAATCATCAATTACCAGAGCCTCACTGTCTCATTTCTATCTGAGCCCTTGTTGCATCCTCCACCTGGGTGTACTAAGTAAGATTCATTCCTAGTAGAATCAAGACCCAATTTCCATTAGCAACCATGTCTAATTTCTATCCAGGACTTCAAACTGAGAGTCAGAACTGAAATGAATTGGTTTGAAGCCCTGTTTCGATCAGATCTACTGCTTAACTTTGTTCTTCTGCCTAATTCCTTTGCATCAAGCAATCCGTTCATTTTTTAACCAGCCCATCATCCAATTTCTTCCAATTTCATGGTCTGTTTTTAACCTATCCCCTTGTCTAATTCCCACCTGCTGCACAGTCTAATCTGTACCCACTCAGCTGCCTCTATCCACCCTGTTCAGGCCCTCCCACCTGCCCATCATGGCTGCCCCACCTGAGACACGAGGAGCTGAAGGTCATGCTCAAAGGCGCGAAGAGTCCGTTGCATAGAGCTGGCACTGGGTCTCGGCTCCGGAGGAGCAGTCAGGCGGGGCAGTCGCCTCCGCTTCTCCTCAATCTGTCCCTGAAGCTCCCGAGCATCGCTGAAGAATTTATGCAGCTCCCGGGAGGCAGCCAGCAGCTGGGCCCGCGTGCCCATGAGCTCCAGCAGCTCTGCCCAGGCTTCATTCAGCCCATCCTTCCACTCAGCCATGGTGGCTGCTGCCGTGTGGCCGCACTCAATCAGCTCATCTACCATCTGGTTCACTGCCGCCAGCCGTTCCCGCCCTGCTGTGCCGGTCTCATTGGCAAACTCGGAGAATTTCTCCTGCAGTACCTGCCACACAGGGATAAGGATGTCAAATACGCCAACCTCCTGCCCTCAACCCTCATCATAAAAATAGTATCTAACACAGTAGGAAGGGTAGTAGTAACAAGAGGAGAGACCAGTCGGTGGAGAAGGGCATCATGCTTGGTAAAGTAGAGGGTCATCCAAAAAAAGGAAGACCCTCAATGAGATGGGCTGACACACTGGCCACAACAATGGTGTTCACACATAACCACTGTGAGGAGGATGTGGGAGCAGGCACGGTTCCCTTGTGTTGTACGTTGCTAAGTGCTATCAAGTCGGTTCTGATTCACAGCGACCCTGCATAGAGTTTCCAAGGACTCGCTGGTGAGTTTAAACCAATGACCTTGACATTCAAAGGACCTGTTGTTGTTGTTACGTGCCGTCGAGTCGGTTCCGACCCATAGCGACCCTGTACAGGGTTTCCGAGGGTGTAAATCCTTATGGGAGTAGAAAGCCTCATCTTTCTCCCGCGGAGCAGCTGGTAGTTTCGAACCGCTGACCTTTAGGTTCGCAGCCTGATTCGTAACCACTA